AAAAGCTTTACTCAAGAGTTTCATCCAAATTAATTAACATATTTCTTAATGAGAATCTAAATTAAATAAAAAATAAAAAGAAATCCTTGGATCAATCTGCTGTTTGTTATTCGGGTCATTCAAATGGGATACATCAAAAACATTATTCCATTTAAATCCATGAATTCGTAAGTAAGCTCAAGGTGTAAAAAGAGATGCATATTCACAATCTTCATTTGATGCATCAAATCTAGGGCGGATTTATGAAGTCTATTTTTTTTTTATCCAACAAATTTTTGTACAATCCGACCAGACTTGAATTATATACAAATATATATGTTTTAAACTTAACGCCAATCTGATCTTCATTTGATCAAAAGTTAAATCCGACCCTGACTCATTTTTTTTTCTTATAAAATAAGAACAAGTCTATTCTGATCTATCAGATTTACTTATTGTGTTACAAGAATTTGCATTAATAAAAACAAAATCCCATGTAATGACAGTTGACTTATATGATTAAATTTACTGATGAATTCCAGATTGAATGTTCAAGAACAGCGTGTAAAGCAACCTAACATTTTCAACGCAAGTGATGTAACCGAAATGAAAAAAGCGAGAGGAATATAAAAAGGTTAACCAATAAAGAAAACAAAATAGAATCATTGGCAAAATTATGTCAACAATTTGTCCTTTGTAAATATACACTATTGCTTTCTCATGAAGGATATAATTGAATACTTCAAACAAAAAGCAGACCTCTTAGTTGCAGCATTATGACTTCGCTAATCTACATTGAATCATACAATACATACCCAACAATTTCCAGTTTGCCACACAGAGGGCTTATTGCTCTTCCAACTGCCAAAAAGCCTAAAAACAAGTATATATAAGTATACATGTATTTCACTCCAATTTCCTCATTCTACACTCAAGCACTTATTCAACAGATGATGAACATGTACATATATAGCTAGATATGCATTATATCTTGTACCAAAATGAAGTTTCTAAAATCTCAAAGTAACCCAAACAAGCCATGTGACCAGCCTTCAACTATGACCCTACACTAATAAACAAGACCCACAATCATCGTCCAAAAAGTGGGTTCTCTTCATTCTCTTTTCACTCTATGATTTCCATGGAGAATGAATTATCAGCTCCAATCTGATAATTATTTCCTTCATCTTCATTATCTCTATGTTCTTCACTCTGATCAGCACTCTCGCTTTCTCCATCCTCTACGTGCAAGTCAGGTCGTTGCTCTTCTTGGGAATCCATCATATGCATCAAAAGCTCCTCTGGCTTCATGTTGTAACCTGAACTAACTGAACTATCTGGCTTCCTAGTCTTCTCTTTATAGAGAGCATCAAGCTGTTGAAAATAAGGACATGTCTTTGAATCCTCTGACCTCTTCTTATTGCTTTCCTTAACCTTTTTGAAGTATTTGTTCATGTTCTCCCATTTTTCTTTACATCTTTTTGCGTTTCGATCATAACCAAGCTTCTTCATGGCAGCTGATATCTCCTCCCAAAGAGGCCCTTTAGGAGCACTTTCATCATACTGTGTGTCCAAATTAGCCCTCAACTTAATCAAAGCCTCAATTTCTTCTTTAGGCCACCGAGATGAGCTCATCTGATGAATAAAATTTTCACCACCGTCACCATCTTCCTGCCTCTCAACCACTTTCTCAACTGCAACTGGAATCTGAGGCATTTGCACCGAGTTTGTTTGTTCCGAGAACTTCTGCAGAAATGCAAGCACAGCAGCATCCTTTGCAGCTACAACTGATCTTTCTTGAACCAGAAGCTCACGCTCTCTCTTAATCCTTGCTAATTCTTGCATCTTCCATGCCTCCTCTCTTGCTATCCTATCTTGTTCAAACTTCTCTATTGCCTCTACAAACTTCTTTTGCAAATTCTCTTGCTTCTCCATCACTTTCCTCATTAAACCTTCAAAAAACTCTGCTAGTTTTCTCTTCTTCTTATGCATTCCATCAGATTCTTTACTTGAAAACGATGTTGAAGGCGAGGTGTCAGCATAATTTGTAGTGGGATTCTTTATGGAACATGGAATAGGATCATGGGCAAAATTAACATGAGATATGTTTGTTGGTACTGTATTTATTGGCGGCGGCATGCTAGTTTGAACACTATCTAGCGGAAGAGGCATGTATAAAGAATTGTGGTTATCTAGAGCCTCTAGTTGCTCAAAAAACCTATAAGTCTTGGAATTTGACCGACCAGACCGGCATTCTTTGGTTCTTCTATGGTACTTAAAAATGTTCTCAAACTTCTCCTTGCATTTCTTTGCACTTCGGTTGTATCCAAGCTCAGATAATTTCCTGATAACATTAACAACACTCATAAACTCCATGGCCAAGGGTTAATACTCCAACTTTGAAGAGACAACTTAGTGGAATCCTTCAACCTACAAGCTAAACATGAAGTAATCTCAACCTAGAAATCAATGTCCTAACAATTTCTGTAAATAAATTGAAACCCAAACCAACGTTAACATTTGGTTCTAAAAATCAAACCACAGATAACTTGGTATTATCACCATTGAAACTGGACTGTAAAATCAAGAATTTGATGCAGACATGTCAAAAAGAAATAAAGAGAACGCACCCACGATTGGAAGGTCAAAACTTTTCTAAATTTCCTAAGAAAGCTATTAAAAGAACAAACAAATTTAGGAAAAAAAACAAGACCCAACAAAGAAAAGAAAAAAAAAAGGCAAAGATAAGCAAATTAAGACAAAAAGGGGGGAAGGGGTGAAGAAGCTCACCGGGAAACTTCTTCCCATAGAGGAGCCTTATGACCAGAGTCCCTAAACGCAGCGTCCATATCAGACCTTATCTTTAACAAAGCCAGAGTCTCCTCCCGCGGCCACCGGTTACCGGGAAAGTACCGATCACTCTCTTCAACCTTCACTCGTCCCTCCTCCTGTCCAAGCCTGTCAGCAGCCTCCTCAGTATCCCGGTTGTCGGTGACGGAAGTAGAATTTTCCATGGTCACCAGTGAATTAAAGCTGAAAAAGGAAGTGAATTTTGCAGGGGTGGGAAAATGGGCATTAAGAAAGATTAAAATTTTTAACTGGGCAGCGAGGGTTTTTGAAGATGGGCTTTAGCTTTCCACAAGCTAGGCGTCTTTGTTGGTTGGGTTTTTTGTAGGTAAACAAAGGAGGGAAGAAGGTGAATTAGGGTTCTTCGTAGGGATAAAGACGTGACCTGAGGAAGCGGTTTCTTTACATGTCAAATTCTGATTGGTTGAGATATTTGACTTTTTAAAACCTTTGACTCATTTCGTAATGTTAAAATTTCAGTCAAGTTTTGTGGCTTAAAAGTTGTGGCGCCAAAATATATAGGTAAATAAATAAGAAATAATGGAAAAGAAAATGAAGGACACTAATTTTCCTCAAGTATATTCTAATTTATGCTTATTTTCTTGTACCTAAATTATATGTTTGTTTTTAAATATTGAAAAACATTAAATTGAATCAAATTTAATATATTTGGCTGCGCTTCTGACCTACCTTTTTGGTTAATTAATTTATTTTTTAATCTATGCGTATATTTATTACTTAATGTTCTTGTCACATTTACTTTTAAAATAAGTAGCATAATTAATATTTTACTCTCTTAAGAAAATAGATATGACTATTTCATGTATTACTTCCTATTTATAATATTAAACTTATTATGGACAAATAAAAATTAGTGGAAAACACTAAAAATGATTTTGTTTCAAATAAAAAATCACTAAAATAATTAAGTATCTTTTTATTAACAAAATCATAATTTCACAATCATTTTTAACGTATTTATTGTAAACATTTTAATTTTTTGTATTTCAGTATTGTATTTATTTTTTTAATTAAATTATACTTTGATGCCTATGAAGATAGATACAATCATAACATAATGTTATTCTTTTGAGTTTCCATAATTGACATGGTATTGGAGCCAACTAACAAATTCTGAAACTACATTTCCTTCTTTTTTATCTTGAAAAACTTCTCCCTTTTATATCTCTATGTGTTCCCCTCCCTATCATATCACTCATTTTTCATTAAGGTTATCACGACAAATTACCTATTGTGAAAGACTAAATTTCTTTTATTCTAAAATATTAAAATTTATACGGCTTTGTTGATAGATTTTTATCACCTTCACGAGGAAGACTTACTATATTAATGGCTCTTTAATTATTAATCCTCATTGTACTAATTAGTTCCATAAGGATTAAATGTTAATGGCTCAGCTCTTATCTTAAGTAACAGAAGAAATATCACCTTATGTACGGCCTAGAAACTTGCCTTCAATCTTGGACTTCACAAAGCGTTTGCATCCATTTCATAACTTGCCAACCACAGCTCAATATGATCTTTCAAGAACTATAACATAAGGATAAAAATAGTCTTTCAGTGCCTCAAAGAAGCAAAACTTAGTGCTAATAAGCTTGTAGGTAGATATATATCAACTATGGAATTTAATGCAGTTATTTTCTTTCATTTATGCCTAAATTATAATTCTCTTATTACAATTCTCAAACTAAAATATGACCCCATCCCATTCCATGAACTACATTGATCTTACCTTGTCAATCCATGACTAAACCCATTATTATAAATGTTGCAGTCAAATCAAGTCACACCACTCACCATACCTCAAAAAGATTTTGATAATTTCTAAAACAATGGAAATTATGATAGCTAAAAAAAAGAGAGGTCTTTACCAAATATGTAATGTCCAAAATCACACTACATATCAATGTCGCAAGTGATACCAAAAATCTCATAATTACAATGCAATGCCATCAAAATCCACAAGAACATTTGATGTAGAATCCTACATCAACAATGTAATACAAAACTCACATAATTTTAATTAGTAACATAGAATTAATCCCTAAATAAACCTTCTTACTTAACCCACTATCAATAGATGCTAAGAATTAAGGTAATTGAAAAAAATTAAAGAATTGATAAAACGCCACAAGGTTACCTTGATATAGTTGAACCAATTCCTCATTCAACAAGAGGGATGAAAAACATCTCACTTGCTAAAAGATAAAACTTTTGTAATTTTATTAATTGAAAACTTTATGATTACAACCATGAGTTGAAAACCTATTTACAGTTATAGGCATGTGCATTACGAGGAAATATATCTCATAAATTAATTGTAAAACTTACATAAGAAATCAAATCATACTAGAATCGGAAAAAAATTACAATTATGAAGATTAGAACCATAATAGTTTAGATATTTTGTTCCTTTGTGGAAACCTCTTCAATAGTGAAGATGTTCATTAATTATAAAAGTTTTTGACTGTGGAAATATGGAAAATTAGAGTTGGCTTTATGACTCCATAGGGAAGACACCAATTTTATCCAAATCCTTCCAAGATCTTGAGTTCATTACTCCTTAAATGTGGTTGCTTCCTTTGAATGGGTGGAATCAGCTAAGGAAGATCTTTTTCCCTTGAAGGCCAGTTCTCCTCGAATATTTAAGACTTGATTGCTTACTTTGATGGAAAAGAAAAGGAAAATTTCCAACTTAGAAAAGAAACCTCTCAGGTGAGAAACTTTTTTCACATGTGAGGAAGATTTTCCCATTTTGTTTCCTCAAGTTCTCCCTTAATTAGAGTAAGAGTGCATGAACATTCTTGCCCTTAGCCGAATGGGCTTAAGCACATTCCCTTATAGGCTTCTATATTAATCTATCCCTTGATATAGTCAAGGGAGTCTTCTCAAGTCCCTTGGTCATATTTGTTTTACTTGGTCTACTTATTATTAGATGTTTCTTTCATTGTCTTAAATCCATCATATAAAGCTTCCAAGCTTTGGTTCCCTCCATGTGAGCAATTAATGTGTATATTTTATCATATTTTTATGCTCTATACTCATTTGTAAAAAAATGATGCATTGGGGTACAAATCAGAAAATCAAGTTACAAGTACAACTGTTATACAGGTGCTTTGATGAAGGAAAGAGACACAAAAAAAAGGCTAAAAAGAAAAGAAAAGAAGAGTAAGAAATCAACCCAAACCAGCAACAATAGCTCTAACATCTTGAATTTTTGCGCTTTATTGTGTGGTCAAAACTCTATTAATTTGGGCCTAATGGTCATTTTAAATTTCTACTGATAATTAATTTCTCCATATTTTAAATTACTAATATTTCTATATTTTAAATTTTTACCATGTTTTATTTTATTAAGTTTGGTATATGATTATTTAAAATATTTAAATAAAAAAATAAAATAAAATAAAATAAGAGACGAAAAAGAGGAAAAAAGAAAGAAAAGAAAGGAAAACCAAAAAAGGAGAAAATCTTCCCCATACCCGCTTCCATGCCTCCCTATGCCTTGCGAGTCCCACGGCGACCCACTCCTCACCCACCTGGATGCTTGTCATGTGGCACACATTCAAGCTTTTTTCTTACCTATTTAAAGGTTCTCTTTTCCTCATTTTTCCACACTTCATTTCTTATTCCCTTTTCATTTTCTAGAGAGAGATTTTAGATTTAGAAATAGAAAATTTTAGAGAGAGAAAGAAATAAGAAAGAAGGAGAAAAGGTAGGACTTTTAAGAGCTTGTTCGATATTTTCCCTTCGTCCTATGTCCATTTTTAAAATAGAGATAAGTTAAAATCTAGAGAGAGAAAGTGAAGTTCTATATAGAAAAAGCAAGGTAAGAGGTATATAAAGTATTATTTGAAGTTGTTTACTTTTTAAACCTTACCCGTGTATTTTAAATATTGTTTCATTTATTGAATTTATATGGAACTCACCCCTAATATGTGCCCTCTAGATGTTATGGAAATTCAGGATTGGCTCTGTAGCACCCGGAAAGGAGGAGGAAAAAAAAAAAAAAAAAAAAAAAAAAAAAAAGGGGGGGCCACGTCAGCAGCCACGTCAGCAGGCCCGGTCAGCAGTCCCGGCCAACCGGGGCCTGCCACGTGGCAAGATCGCGTCACTCCGAAAGGAGCCACGTTGGCGATCCGCGTGGGTGCGATCCGACGGCCCAGATCAATCACGCGATCGGACGGCCCAGATTCAAACGCACGGACGGCCCAGATTCAATCAAAAACGAACGGCCCAGATTAAAACGAAACGAACGGCTGTGATCAAAAGGCAAGGGGTTATAAATAGAACCCCCACACCAGACCAAAAACCCTAGCCGCCAGCCGCTCGCCGGAGAAGACGAACCAGAGGCCGACCGCCGCCACCCGCCGCCACTCGCCGCCGCACCGGGGAAATTTCCGACCGCCGATCGAGGTAAATTTCATACCCCCGACTCGTTTTTCCCCACTGATTCCTCCTATGGCCAAATCGAAGCCGAAATCCCGGCCAAACGGCCGGAATACGCGGCCGAAGCCCAGCGGCGCCGCCGCGCCCCCTCTCGGTTTTTGCCTCCGACGAGGCCCTTCCCGGCCTCCGTTCGATGTAATTTTTATATCACCGTGATCACCATTCTTTTCTCTACAGGTTGACCGAAGCCAAATCACCAAAACACGAACTTTGCCAGAGAGTCGCCGTACCCGAGAGCACCGCCGCCGGTAAGCTCCGCTTTTCCGTGATTTTTTGGCCCCCCGAGGGCCCTAGGGTTGTTTTCTGACAAGGACCGATGCGAGTGTGGCCGAATTCGGTCGAAAACGGCCGAAAACAGCCAACCCGAGGCGACTCGCCGCCACCAGCGGCGGCGCCGTCGCCGGAGCACGGCGGAGCCGCCGTGCCGGAGTTGCGATTTGGGCCGAAAGAGGCCCTGGGCCTAATTTGGATTTTTTTTGGAACACGTGCAGGTACTGTTAGCGTGTTTCAGTTCCCCGGGAAAAATTCAGGGAAAATTAGGGACAGCCTGCAGGCGCACTGTGAATCGTATTCGGATCTCGAAAACAAGTAAGGACCCCTCACCCTATTTCCTATCACG